AAAGGTTTGTTCGGCTTTGGGAGGGAGTGATCAAATTTTAATCACCGATCGCACGCGGGCTTGAAAACTTCAAACTGAACTGCAGCAACGACGATCAAGTCCTCCCATTAATATGATTTCATATGTCCACGATGTAAATTTGTAACAAAATAATATCTGTGTACACTTTAATGAACTTGGGAATATCTTTGCGATAATCTTTTGTTTTGCTCATTTTACTCCCAAGTAAATAAGAATGGAGATGATTAAGGACCCTTTTCTCCAGTAGAATTAACATCTCTCACCAGATTGAAATGATATGATGTCCCTATTTTTATGTAATTTTCAGCAGTCTTGTAACTTCAAGTGATGTAAAAAAATCATTACATGCTTTGCACCAATTGATAGAAATCTCAATTAAAATTTAGGCCTTTCTCTTCTTGAATTAAAAAATTCTTTCCATTAGCTACAGAAGTATGGGTATTGGAATTAGTCTCGTGCTTTACCACGGATAGACTTTTGGGGAAAGTGTTCCCATATTCATACGCTTTTATTTCGTGTTTGCATTAATTTTTCAGCTGCTACAATTTACTTATTTATGCTTTGCATGAGTAATAACCATACACCAATAAAAAGTAAGAACTCCATCTATCAACAAATACAGCTGACCGCATCTAAGTATTTCTAATTCCTCTCCTCAACTCGCTTTGCTTTGTTCAGTTGTATCAATTTTCCCCCGGAGCTTCAATATCCTAAACATTTGTCTAACAGACGCAGACAGGCTCTGAAAGAGGAGGAAAACACGAGCCTGCATACAGGCCCAGCCGTAATAAACGTCACCGCCGTTAAAAATGAAGTTTGCGGCCTGATAAACTGATGACAGATTAAGTGTGATCCAACTCTATTTTCGTGTCCTGTCGCTCATGAACGATGAGATTACACCAGCGAAAATGGAGAAAGCGGGGGTTGAGCGGGTGTCTGTCCAGTTCTGTCTCGCTACAGCGACACGGCCGCTAGACTCGTTGATGTTCGTCCCCCGCGCGCTGTACGGATCCCTTGCACTTCTCATAGAGAGAGGCCTCCATGAATGATGCTCCGGGACATAAGCCTTGCCCAGCGGGTCGTATCGTCTTTCTTCCCCCGCTAGAAGGGAGCGTTAACCCCGCCGGATGGCGGGCAATCTTCGCCTCATGAATTCTTGATGAGGCTTGACTCCGGCTGTGCATACACCCGGCCAGATTTTTTTTTTATTTATAATCCATTCATATAAACACTCGACTATGATGTTATTCTTCATAAGTTCTCCATCTTACACTCTTAATCTTTGAAAAGCTGAGATTTTCAACCAGCATTAGTCTAGTCAATCGGTCTCTTTTCATGTTTGAAAGGAGGTAATAATACAGGCGTTTTTCGGCAAAGCCCTCCTGTTTGGCCACGGAGTACTGATGATTCGTAGTTTGTTTTACCCTGCCTTTTTAGACTGCCTCTGAGAAAAAGAGAACTGACAATTAGTTGGATAAACAGGGACCTTTTGTTAATCGACAGGGAAACTCTTCGAGAACTGGGCTCGGTGTTAACACCTCACGGGACCCGCAGGGAGATATCCCGCCACGCGTAAGTTCCGCCAATTGCCGTGCGGATTTCATTCTACCTAATGAAGTGAAAATCGAGTTTGATTAACTCGAATGATTTTCCTTTAAAAACCCCTGATCTTTAACGGCGGTTTGCTTTCCTATTGCTTGAGATTGTTTTTGAAGAGGAAATTCAGGGACACGTGAATGAGTAAAGGCCGTAATGGGACCCTTCGCTGTGGATCCGAGTGCCAATTAAAACAGGTAATTACAAGTCGTAGCTGGCCACAGACGCGGGGCGAGCGAGCCAGCGAGGCCGTCTTAACGAGTTAACACGTTGAACCGCGAAGAGATCTCCTGCTTTCATCTCTCTTCAACTCCCTCCCTTCGTTCTCCATCTCCAGCAACCACCACTCCATAGTCCGTCTCCCGCTGCATGTCTGTCCAAGGAGGAGGAGATGAGCATGAGGTGATAAGGAGATGATGGAAAGGGGAGAATCTTTAATCTCGGCATCCAACCTGACGTCTTATTCGCATCATAGTCATCATATTCTTCACCGTCAGCAGCATTACCAGCTTGTCATGTTATGAAGAGATTATGTAAGCCCGTGCGACCTCTGGCTTCAGGCCACGAGGAACACTTTTTGTGGATGTTGTCATTCGAGATAGGGATCGCTTCCTTTCATTATCCGGGTGAAATTGCTGCACCTGTTTCCCCTGTTAAATTAACTACGAGGGATAAATAGATTTCCCTTTATCCGAATCAACATCTCGAGTGGGCAGACACCAAGTAAAACGCAACCCATTACCTCGTCTGTTTCTTTCTTTTCTTGTATTTCTGTTCAGTTTTGGCGGGAAGAATACATCCAATCAGTCATGTGGCTGTGAGCCGTGCCGCGTTTATGGAGATAGTCCTTCTGGTCAGAAAAAAGTCAATTTCGAGGGTAACAAAATACCATCGCAATTATCAGAAAACATGGTGCAGAATCGTTCTGAAGGACTTCTGTAAATGGTCATTACATAGCAGCGATTTCTGGAAAGATAATGTTTTAGTTGTATCTCAAAGAAAAATTGTATAGGCCTTATATTTGTGTAAGAAAAAGACAGTTGTTAGGAAAAACATCAGCCCGAACTGAGGTAAACTGTGATGGAGAAAGTGATTTTACAAAACCATTGCCTAATCTCGTTTTATAAACCATAGTTGAATTTAAACAGGTAAACGTAGACTTAGCTTCTCCGAAAAATTGGAGGATTTTCCCGACAGAGTTGCAAAACCCAACCTCGAAACTATTCCGTCAATATTGTTTTTGCAACCAAGACGACAACCATTTTTGGCGCGTAAACTGTCTGCCTGACAGGTTTTTCTCCATAGCAGGAACAAGTGGTGAGTTCAATTGTATGGTTTTTTCTCATTGCCCTTACAAGTTCACAAATTTTTCTCCGAGTCAGTATATTTTCTTGCCTCTCGTTATAACATGGCGACTTGCTGCAAGACATTTTCACTGCACCACGAACTAAGGTTGATATGTGATGATATTCAGCAAATACTCACGCCTCAACATTGGTCTGATTTCGATGAAAAATCTCGACAATATATACGTGGTATAAGTTTTTAGAATTTGCGTTCGCGGCACATTCTACGCGATTCCACGAAGGACGCCACGTAGACGAGGTGGCACTGGGAAGGAAACCAGAGATATAATTTCAATTCAACCAATAAGTATTAGCTGTAAGTTTCCAAGAGTTTCTATAATGTAACGGTATCTTATAGATCAACGTGTAACACCAGGTGTCGAAAAGAATTTCATAGTTGATTTGTAATTCTTGAACCCAATAATATATCTCGGTAAGGGATATAGCCCGACTTATGACTGAATACATTAACAGACGCCCATGGTTGTGTGCCGTCTGGAATCTTTTGTGTCATTCTTGTGTGGAAAGGAAAAAGATGTCTTCTTTTTATGGAGCTTGTAAACAGCAATTCCTAACATAAACCAGGTATAACTCCGTAGCAGTTTTCCTAACAAAAACGACCTCAGTGCCCAATATGTCAGAAGTGTACATGGTCCGCTCTATAAATCTAATCATGATGCGCCACATCTAGTCATATATTTATTGATCATTAATTTTATTGGCAAAACCAAATGACATATTTTTGTTCTTAAAGGGACCTCAAGGAAGCGGATATTTTAGAGGATATTAATAGTTTTTAAACACGAAATATGCAGAAAACGCAGGGAAAACCAAAAAATGTATTGTACAAAATGAACACCATATTGTAAGGCTTTTCTGTCGATTATTTTCTTTTGTTGACAATAGATACTGCAATAAACTATCACGAGGGGACACGTCGTCTACGCCTCTCTCCTCAGATTGGCCACGCCTACAAACGACCCCATACAATCAGAATCATCACTGTTTTCCGTGTCTTCAACCTAAAACCCCGCAAGTCTGTCAGGTTAGATGCTGCGTGTCCCACGTGTCATGTTGTTGGTTATCCTTGTTAAGATGAAGTTAGGAGACATGTCTTGACGTTGGCATCTACTTTGCAAAGTGGCTTGGAGAAGCCCTGTAACCCGTCCTCAGTGAATAAGTTTCTTGCCAGCTCTGCCGAATGTTCAGGTGGTGTTCCGCTCCCAGGAGACAAACATTTGAACTTTCCTCGTGCAAACAAATTACCTGAATATACGGAGTTGACGTGAAAGCGACTAACATGATGTGAGGTTTAACCTCGTCACGAGCATGAGTAAATTGCATATCATCCTGCGGGCATTTTATAGTCGTTATACTAGTCGTTTTTAATTGCCGCATTGACCACACTGACAACACCATAGTGTGTCATAAACCAGCACCAACATCCTTATTGTTTTGTCTTTATCATCACAGAAGCACTGTGAGTTTCAGCATCAATGTCCCCTTTCGTGCATTTCAGTAATTCATTACCACCAATAACTGGGTTTCATTTTGTATATAAAATTATATTGTTACTATATTGTTTCACATCTTTCACCCCACATGAAGTACTATCATTATATACCACTTCGTTTTCTTTAAATTGATTGCATCTCATCTCTTCCACCCACCTGTATTCTTCCCTTGGTCTTAACTTTGACCAGTGTACACCTGCTCGCATGATGTTTGAACTTTAATCATTCTCCTCTCTCGGGTATACTGCTTACTGCACCACAGTCTCACAAACAATCGTCCATTAGGGTTTCAAGTTGATACGTAGTCAAAGATCAGCTAGCAAGACAGCTCACTCTGTTAAACTCGTCCGCCTTGAACGAACCTCTTTGTTTCTGAAACACTCACCATTCCCCCAATCCAGGCCAGCCACTCGAAGTGCATCCTGGGTAATCGTGAAATTGAAGCAGCAATCCAATTTGCCACCCCCGGTGGTGGTGTGTGTCTAACGTGCCGCGGACATAACCACCGCTGTTTTATGGCATCACCAAGTCGTTGCGTGGTGTCCATCAACCAACATTTGATGGCCAATGGTGTGTTGACACAAATATACCTTTAAACTTGAAGGGGTAAGACGAGGAAACGTACGCGGGCAGCCGGGTAAAAAAGGGGAAAACTGAGTCGAAGCGAAGACGGATCGATCGTGAGCGGCAGATTTTACATCGGATTTAATTCGCCTGCAAGCTGTTGCTAAATCGTCGTGGCGAATTTCGGCACTTTGATTTGCCATCAGAGCTTTTTCCTCGTCTGATTTCAAGAGCTTTTTTTATTCATTTCACCCGGGTTTATTACATGAGCGGCCTGACGAGACATGGAGGCAGACGAGGCATGCAGCCCGGTATCCGACCCGCGCAGTAACCGGGCAGATACTTTGTCATTCAGCATCAGTCGGATCCTCAGCAAATCCACGGGCCCCGCTTGTAGAAACGGGAAGACTGTTTCGATAGCGAGGGATGTACACTATTACTCCATGGGCCAGATTAGCGGTTCCGGGACTCAACCTCACCACCAGGTGTCCCCTGAGCTGTATTCTCGTTCCGCCTCCCCGTCTTCATCGTCAACTCACACATCGGCCTCACCCCCTGCCGCGTCGTCTGTTTCCGCGGTGGCATCTTCACGGAGCGTGCCTGGCGGAAATCCGCTGACGAGACACATCGAGCAGAGCAAGGTACTCCGTGTCCCGGCGCATCGCCCCATGGCCTTGCCGTTTAACAGCATGTTTCCGTGGATGGAGAGTCGTCGACTTGCTAGGGACAGACTCACGGGTAAGTTCTGTTTTCTTGAACGAATACAATACTTAATAATAAAACAAGCAAAGAGAAACCTCTGATACGTATTTCAAAACAAATTAACAAGGATTTTAGGGTCTTGTAGATTATAATTCCTCAAATATTAAGTACATCTTTTTATTCAAACATTGATTTAACTGGAAACTTTATTTTGATTAACCATTAGGCATGTCACTATGTGTAGTCCAGTGAAAGAAAAATCCCGGCTTTAATATAAAATACACTGTATTTGGTAAATAGTTGATCAAGCGTTGTACCCGTACAGCCCTTTTTAAGGCAATTTAAATAAATTAAACCTGACGACAGCGAAATCAGTGGTTTGGTGACCGTCCTATTGATTGGGAGGCCTAAATTTTATTTTGGATATCTCACTTATTTTAATCATTATTCATCTTTGATAAGAATTATAATGTGGTTTCTCTTAATCAGAATTATTTCGTACAAACACCTTACTTCCCATGGTTTCTTACATGCCTTGCAAAGTATGTGACTGTGTGCTATTACAAAGAGCAGTTTCTGAAAAACTTGAAGTTATTGATCAAATTGCAACACAATACGATTACCGAATTTTGTTCGTCCTTGCACCCAGCCTCGATGTAGCCCTTTTATCCAAGATGGACAGTTTCAAAGAGATTTTTTACTTAGGGCCTATATATAATTTGCCAATTTTTGAACTTGATACGGCTTTTTCACAACAGACACATCTCCATTGTACCAAAAATATTATACTCTTATTGACTAAATAATGTACAGTTACAAATAAACACAAACAGCAGTGGACAGGCAACTTGTACAAGTATTTCTGACTTCCATTTCGACGTAGTAGATAAAATATAAGCACAAATATGATTATGAACAAACTTCCGATACAGTACACACGATTAACGGAAATAGAAAACAAAGGGAAAAAAGCCAGTGAATACAATTTCTCGGTTGCAGTCACAAGGCGAGTAGGACATCCCTACCAGAATCGGACTCCTCCGAAGCGGAAGAAACCCCGAACCTCCTTCACCCGACTGCAGATCTGCGAGCTAGAGAAGCGCTTCCACCGACAGAAGTATCTGGCGTCGGCCGAGCGGGCTGGCCTCGCTAAGACGCTCAAGATGACGGACGCGCAGGTGAAGACGTGGTTTCAGAACAGACGGACCAAATGGAGGTGAGTGGGCTTACAATGTGGCCATATCAGATCAGGTGTGTTACTTGAATCTTGATGATCGCGGAAAGATTGTGGAGAGTCCCAGCAAAGAGATGGGTAAGGTAGATCATTTACACAAGTAGGATACATCGTGTAGAAATTGAGGAATATTAACAGGGCTGTGGGTGGACATGAACAACTTATACAAAGGAAATCTGCAAACATTGCGTTGATGAAGAGAACTCGGGTAAAATTGCAAAGAGCACATGTAGTTTTCGCCGTCTGGGTAATGCAAACAAGCTTTCAGAAAACAACTTTTTTCACAGAAATTTAAACCTCCCATGGAATACAATGAACTACAGCATTAACACTCCACCTCGAAGCTCACTGGTCAGTTGTCGGTCGCAAAGTCCACATTCCTTTAGATTAAATTAAAAATAAAAGTTCTGATGTCTTGAGAGCTTCAGGGAATGAAGTTTGATAATTTCGAGTTTGTAATTAACTTCCAGCCGCAAACATTGCAGTTTCTTACAGTAAACCTCGAACAAGTTGAAGACAAATAATTAATCAAGACAAATATAACGTGTTTAAAAGTTTTAACGAGGTAAAGATCAGCTTATATGGGTAATCGCTGAAGAAATGTGTACTGTGTGTCCTCAACGGTGCCAAATGGTCGATTGGACCATTTTATCACTGGATATTCCCGAATTCTTGGCATTCGCTAATTCAGTGACTAGAAGGATGTTGATAATGTTGCAATTTAGAGGTATACCCAAATGGCTGTAACCCATGGCACCTGATCAAAGTCTATCAATCAGTGTTAGATCTATCTCCATTCCCCAGAGAGCATGCACTGCGGTAGTATATAGACCAGGCGCCAACGGTCCAATTTTATTGAGGTGATAAGCGGAAAGCGATACTGCTTACCCAATTTATTTGCTAAGCGTATGTCAGCTCAAAACCATAAGCAAAAGAATTGTATATTGCATGATGTTTTAGCTATAGTATAATGTTTTGCTAAGGACGTTTTCATGTACTTGGCAAATCTCTGTGCTCACTAGCTTCACGAACATGATGAAAATGACCCCTGCATCGGAGTCTATACTGCAGTTTGTTTAACAAGCTTTACTTTACGTTTAATTATCATAGGAATTCGAACCCTCGATCTTGAGAAATATCCCCTTCAAAATACAGTGGAAATCGAAGCAATTAACGCCAATTCAATATCTCGCAGAGTCCATGATAAGGTTGTGAGTGCATTCCCTCGACATGAAAGCACAAATGTACCTCCAACAAGGGCAGACCGGAGGGGGGGCAACGGGGCTATGCCCCCCATAAAAATCGATCAGGATTTTTTTAATCAATAAGAGTTAAGATATTAAGTGTCTTAAACAGATGTTGTTTTGCATGGAAAGAGCCATTTTGTTCACGAAATTGTTTCGGAGAAGCTGCTTAATAATTATTGTGACTGGTACGATTAGTTAATACAAAAGTGCATTGGAGACACCACTTACTCGTTTTGCCCCCCCCCCCAAAAAATTGGGTCTTAATCCGCCCATGCAGAATTATTTGCTGTTAAGCGCCACCTTGTTCAAGTTTAACCTAAATGCTGTTCTGTCATTTTTCTGCACAGAGCAAACAAAGTCATTTATACCGTGGATCCATTTCGTGAGGTGGTGAAACAAGCTGTACAGAATCATTTTCGTCACTACCCACATTTCTCTAGCTCTGCGGAGTGCGTTGCTAGAGCATGGTGCCAATTAGGGCAAATGCTTTTGAGAGGAAACTGACAAGAGAAAAACACCAGATCACCTCTACATTTATACACCCCTTTGAGCGTAGCCAGATTTTCCATGCTTCGCAGTTTAATCAAGGGTTTCTGTTAGAATGAATTCCACTACAATATACTATTGCGTGCCCATAATGCGTGGATGGGACGCTTTGGCTTTTTCGCCAAACACCGAAGCCCTTGCTTGTGTCTCTCTGGGGATTTTAACCGACTGTAATGGAATGTTAGCGTTTGTGGTTTAGAAGTGGGCAAAAGCTTTTATAAAGTAAATTTTACCAAATGATAATCATTAGCTTAAAACTGAAAGTACATCAGTGTACCATTATTGCCCTCAATGTTGTATGTTAAACAGCTATATCGGATATCTGTCATTGGTTTGAAAGGGAATTTTTGTGGTTCATGCCTCCCACAACACCAGGAAAATCTTTCTTTATGATGGGAAGTTTTCTCCAGCAGACATTCACTTACTTTTGACCGATACCTGTGGGTGCAACTTCTCCGCAATTGCCGCCGTTATTTATGAACTGAGGCTGCGGTCAAGCACCCCGTGTTGTGCTCCTTCAAGAGGGTATAATACAAGGGGACATAGGGCCAACTGGCTTTGAGTAAACAGGGTGAAGAAGGTCGCAACACGGGCCAGTTTTCGAGGAGGAAAAGTTGATTTAGGATAACAACGTAAACCAAATATTGGCGGCCTAAAAACTTGCACAACTAAACGGTTGAAATATTTATGGAAGCGTGTGATAGCCCATCATTTTCCTAATGTTTTTGCTCGCGGATTTGTGGGGAGGCAACGACGTTTATTTGTTAGAAAGGGCCATTTTCGATTTCTCAAAATGTAAGTGTTTTTTTTAAGGAAGGGGTACGAAAAACGAAAATAAACACACCATACAAAATCCGACACTGATGCGTGTAGTTTATACACAATCTGTACAGATAGTTTAACGTTTTACAATGAGCCTCTTGCATCAAACAATGTTAACTTTTGCACTAAGAGTTAGGGTTATAAGTTAAAATTATGCGAGGCACTTGGAGACATTGTGCACATTTCTAAGTAGCACATTTTATAAAAAGCCTTCCACTTCCTTTCCTCGCCTAAAATTTAACCCCCAAAATGTCAAGTTTTATAAAATGGGGAATGAAATGTTTATCTTACTGTTTCAACTAGGTTGCATTGCCAAAGGCTGTCCGCCTTCCGTCATTTACACGATTTTGATTGATTTCCCCCTTTCTTCGGAAACACCTGCAAGAACCCAGCGTTCAGGGTGATTAACCACCCGAGCGAACCCTTGGTTAACCCGGGGCTAACCCGAGGTTACAACTCACTCGCCTTGCCTAATTCTGGTCATGCCCCTGACGCAGCCAATTTGTTACTTGGAAACATAGTTGCGGAAAATGAAAGGTATACATTAACAACAGCTTGGTCCCCGAAGGTATACACCAATCGAGAAAAGAGGAAAATGTCAAGTACATGCTGGTACACTATTTTTGTTGCCAGAATCTAATAGCTTATTCGTTTAAACGACAGGTATATTCCCTGGCGATTTAAGGTATCCAAACACTTTCATCACCAAACATAAACCACAGTATTAAATAAACACCATGGACACCTACACTGAGCAACCCCACTGGGTATTAACTTTACACTACATCCGACCAGTTCACGCTAAGAAGTTGTATTTTTATTCTGTTTAGATAATCTAATGAACGCTTTTATCATTGGTGTTTTGTTCTCATCAGACGTCAAACTGCCGAGGAGCGAGAAGCCGAGAGACAAGCAGCAGCTCGTTTCATGTTTACCCTTCAGCACGAAGTCATGCTGAAGACCCTCCAAGAACCTGTACCACCTGACCCCCTCTGCCTCCACAACGCCTCCCTAAATGCCCTACAGAATCTCGCGCCGTGGGCCCCTGGCGAACAACAGCAGCAACAATCACAGGTAGAGAAGCAACCAGATGGGGACTCGGCCAGCAACGGGCAAGCTCACTCGCCACAATGTTGAACCAAATCTGATGATATTCCTTATTGGCAGGTTTTGGGCCGCTGCGACGTCATCGGCAATGAAAATCACCATTAAGCCACATCAATTATTGACTATGGGTCAACCGAACGGCTGCGCAATAGCAACAGCGGCAGCAAAATAACTGATTGTAGACAGGAAACCAGCATGCCAACACAAGCAGCAGAATTGCTGCAGTAACAGCAAAGACAGAAGTTGTAACTTTTGAAATCAAAATCAAATTCACGGAGAACTTAATCAAGACAAGTTCTTGCAGCCGTGCGTAGTTGATGATTAGCGCCTGCAAAGCCCGCAACCAATTTTTCAGCCAGTGTTAAGATTCACACTCTCCCGACTCAAGATGATATAACTGCATGTAAGGCGTGTTGAATACCTCAATTGCCGTTTTATCAGAGGACATGGGCGTGAAGTTTTTAATTACACATCGCGCCAAAATAACTCGTCAACGACAAACGACAGAGCAATTAATTACCTTTATGACCTTGTGGCAAGACAAAATGCGAATTCACAGTTTGTTGTAGTGAGCAGGATAATGTTCAGGATCACTTTAATATTCCCTTGATTCTACCTACTGCAATCCCATGAAATCTGCGCGTTAAGTTTTGTTTTCACCAAGCCGGAGGTGGTTGTATTAGTTACAAAGACAACCAGCTAAATTCCATTTTAGCCATCTGTGTTCCAACAGTTTTTTATCCATTGCAAATTTTAGAGCTCTTAGTAACAGAGAACTGCCAAAAGCATATTTCAAAATTCGCACACAAAAACTACACCCTTCTATTTGCTAATGCATAGACAGCGTAACATGTTGGCTTTGAAATGTCTCGTTGTTTCAGCCAAAAGGCTATAATCACTGTCTGTTATAATAGGATTACTGCTGTTACTAATGAAATGTGCATTGACAGAAGTTGGTTGGATCACAGAAAGAACAGAAATGGGAGGGCCCTGTGTTGTGATTAATTGTATAAAATCACAGATATTTGCTGGTTATGACTGAGCCCAATTTGGAAAACTCTGTAAATAAACAGCTTATTGTATTTAAATTATTGTATTTAATTAGGAGACTGTGGCGTTATGTGTACAGGCCGATGTCTTGAGGTTCGGTAAGATTAGACATGGATCCAATAAAAGGGTGGTTTAAGTGAACAAAATGAACGTGGTAAATTCACTTTTATATTTCAAGCTAGATTAAGATTCGGATTTAATGTAACATTCATAGTGGCTTATCCCGAAGAAAAACCTGCAAAATTCGCTGGATTGAAATGGCCAGTACATTCGACAGTTTTTTTCCAAGGCTGTGAGCTTGAGAACAAAATCCCAGGTAATAGTTGTTCTCGTACAGAGGATTAGAGTCACAATATCGAAACGTTCAGTTCTTTTCAGACTGAACACACCCTTTTTCAGACTCGAAATCCTCGAATGAGAACGACATTTCCTTGCGCTGTCCCATTTCAGATACCGAGTTTATCTTGTTGAAGTGAACGCTCCCTGTAAGTTCGAAAGGAGCCCATCAAATAGCTACCCTCCGCCCAGCTCAACCCTTCGTGTACGGCCGAGTTTTTGATTGATTGGCCCAAAGATTTGCGAAACAGATCGGGTTCACTCAGTCAATTTACAAAGTAACCATCTGCTTTTCGTAGACAGTTGTCACTCTGTATCAACTTGAATTCATACTTCCTGAAAACCCTTTCCCTATTAAATTCATTTCCAATTATCTGATTTTGACGACTGTTAACAAAAAAAAATTGGCTTACCAAACGCGAGCGCATATGAGGGAGTCATTACTGCTGTTTAAGCCGTCGCGTGCGCGGTCCGCTTCGGCCTGACACCAAGCAACCGTACCGTTAAGTGTGGGTAATTCGATGGTAATTTGGGGCTCGGAGGCATGAGGAGTAAGAGACAGCTCGCCTTAGCAGAGGCGAGTTAGATGGCTGGGGCCTCCGAAGAAAACTTGTCTCACTCGGCGAGCCAGAAGGCCTGTTAATGCAGCTCGGGGCTCCTCCCCAGCGGAACAAAAGAAAATGGCCCGAAGTGCCGCAAAAGGACCATATGTGAAGAGGTCTATCGCCCTTTTTTTTTTACTTTACCCCCCCCCCCATCTCTCTTTTTACATCTCGGAGCTATACTTGTCAGGAGTGATAATAACCATCATATATCATCTGCAACGCGATCGCCCACCGAACTTGACGGGGAGAGAGGCCCTAACTGTCGGGCTAGCAATTGGCCGGTGATTCCCCAGTGTCCCACCAACACCCCTGGCAAGATAAGAGGCGAGGCTCTGGGTGTCGTTCTCCCTACAAATTAAGATCAAAAGTAATTGCGTATCAAGATGGATGGGGGAATAATGGACGTGCCTCTTGGCTAGTATCCGACGGCAAAGAACCGTCGACAGCTTGTCATTATTTCCCTCTCTGCCTGATCGCCGTTATGTTCAGATTAGTGACTTGAAACAGCCCCAGAGGACAAATCTTGGATTTATTTGATTTACTCTTTTGGAAAATACTCAGAACTTTGACAAGTACCTTTCCAGGTTCATTGATACAGAGAGACTGACTGGAATGAACTAATACAATTTTACTCTAGTCTGCTATGAAATCAAATTACACGATTTAGCCGAAACATGTTTCGTCGACCTAGGGGGCTCTCAAATGCAGACCTTTCTCAAACATGTTTCTCTAAATGTTGCCACAGACCCCGAATCCTTACTATACCAAATGGCTAATTTGAAACTTACTCCTATAGAAAAATTCTTAAAAATTTAAACTGTAGGCCGAACTCCCCACCTCAGTCTGTCCAGAGTTTCCACCCTTCCACTTTCTGTTGTACTAATACCCCGAGAGTGTTGTCATGTTGAGCGATAGCGGGCGCCTGTTTGTTGTTTACTCTCAAAAGGGTCCTCCCGTGCGCGACGTTGCGAAAATGTTTACCCCGGCTTGGTGCCTTAAGCAATCCCCATACAACCTCTTTGCTTTCCCTTCCCAGGGCTGTCATCACGCCCAGCTGGTCACCCTCGATAGGCGGCAGATGGGTGGCTCACCTCCGCCTGACCTTTTCCGTCTGTTCGGCCGCCGTGCCAGTCGTCCGGAGGTCGCCAAAGTGCTGTGTGCGAGGCGGGCCCATAACTGACTTACCCAACGGACCCTTAAATGTATCCGACTGTTTTATTCTTCCTTTCTTACAAAAACAAAAACGGCTGCCCTTTTTGATAAATGAGTTTCAAATGACCTGCCAAGAATCTGCAGTTGTGTTGGAAAAGAGGTGACGTTTAAAAAAACTTAAACTACTATCCTTCGGTCCTCTCGTAATGTGCGCCACGTGCATACATGACATTTTTTTCCTCCAAAAAAGCACATGCTCTCTGGCTTCGGTGCATAACTTTGGGAGAATTCGAACTGCACTGCCCTACTGCAGGTTAAATAGGTCTTATACTCAGAGGCAATGCAGGAACAATAAATTTAAGTTCTGACCGAAAAAACAATTGTGGCAAGCACGATATCTGGGTGTAACTGCACATTTGCCCCGCATTGCCGACGACTACGCCCCTCATGAGCATAATCTCTTGAACCATTTGAACCTAATATTCAGTCGAGAGTGGAAAAAAAACAACATCAAAGTTTCTCTGTATAAAACGGTTGGGATACTGGGATAACACCCGAAAAGTATGCATCTCGCAGTGCGATGTTCAATGTCATCCGCAGGTTCAATCAAAGTGATAATTCACAGGGCATGTTGCTCACATTGTAGCGAGTGATATATGAGACCAACCCGCCGCGCGTTGGGTCTGACTGCACGGGAGAGCACCCCAGTCTGTCCGGCTCCAGATTGTTTGTATCGCTCGGTGCTTTCGTTTTAAATATTACAGTAACACCATGAATTTTGAGATTTCCGTAACGACCACAGCGCGGCCCCCGAAGCTGATTTGCCGAGAGAATTATGACATTTTTGACCAGGTTTACGCCACTGGATGATGGAACATTTGTAAACTTGTCTATTTAAAGAAAACGCGATACCGTGGCAATGTAACGCGATATCATAATACTGGCGAATCGCTTGCTGAAAACGACTAAAACAGGACGTGACATGAAACAAAATGATTATGCTTTGAATCATCATTCGTACAGATATAGAAAAAAAATAAGGGAATGAATTTTATGTAGTTGCCAATCGAAATGTGTTCAATCCCTTCTCGTCCTCACCATAATGAAGCCAAAGAGGGTAGTCATGATGTGCGCCAAGGAAACAATGCTGAGCTGGACCGTTCAGCGTGTGTCTAGTGATGGTAGCATATTTTCGGTGGACTACCCACCAACCGCCATAAGTGATGTAGTCAGCCCATAATTTGTGACTTTACCTTTTATTTCTCGGTAGAGTTAATTATCAAAATGAATAATCTTACTCGCCAGTACCACGAACGAAGAGATTCAAAACAGAATATAGGCTTCGATTGTGTGTGGCTTTATCTTATATATCTCCCTTTTGTTTTCTCCGTAGTCCTTTTATCCAAGCAATGAAATGTTTCTACATGCTTTGGAGAAGGAAACGATATTGCAACATACTAGTAAAAGATATATATAAATCAATATGTATATAATGATTCTGATACAAAAGAAAACGCAAGTGATTATCTCAATGGGATTTTGTAAATGACACAGAAAGGTTACGGAGTACATCTCGCCAGATATTGATAAAAAGAACAGAAGAGGCTTGCTTGCCTTTGCCCCTGTAATTGCGGGCCGCCGGCGCGCAACAAGCTTCCCTAAATCACCAACCCAGGTATGTCATTTTATACAAATCTCCAAGTAAATACTGCCGCCTAATTTATAAGGCGGACAACCCAGAACCCCCTTAACAAAACACAAGAGCAAAGACACTCTTCCAGTCCCGCTTCTCAGAGCTAAGATGTATATTTACTCGTCTGCCTAAAACAAATCAGCCGTTAAAATACGGTCCCTGTTCTATCGCCAAAGAAGAATTGAACATAATTGAAGAATAAAAAGAAAGCCACGGAGCCGCGGGGATGTAGTGCACGCGAGGTTGGCTAAAATTGGGTCAAATATGCCAATGTAAGTCTCAAGATGAAAAAGGAAAATGTCTTGTCTTGGTAACGTCTTTCTCTTCGTGTGTTCTGGTCTCTGTCGTCCAAGAAAAGACCTGGAAACCATGCCAGGTTGTAGAATACCTGTCACTTAGGAGAATAACTGGTTTTAATTCCTTTGGATGGATAAAACTCCAGACCCATCCTACCACCATTCATCCGTCTTAATGCAGTGGCGAATCTTCAAGAACTTTCTCTCTCTAGAAAGGAACTTTCACTTATTACCAACAATACGTGCATGGTTACTCGTATATTTCCTTAACGGATTTCATGCTCTTGTCGGACCACGCCCTTTTAGGATACTACGCATGTAGGTTCAACAAATAAACATTTCTCCATTGTCTTTGTCCTGTAATTTGCGCCAAATGCGCTGTTGGATGAACAGAAATAAATAGACAAAATGAATAAAACTTAAAACAAAATTGTCCAGTGGGCGATTTGACCTCTGAATTGATTGACATAAGGTCTTACAAGACCTCGCAATCAATCCCGTCTAATCAAGAGAAGGTTTTCAAGTGCATCAAATCTAGGAGCGCTCATGATGAATGAAGAACATCCTTCTCTGGGGGAACAGTCATAGTTTGACACTAGCCCATCTCATATGAACAAAATATGTTTTATACAAATAGGCCTTCGAAAACGAGTCTGAAATTAAAAAATCGTTTCAATATTTTACCGAATCGGACTTGCAGTGGGTTTATCATTTTATTTCTGAATAGAAGTGAGAGTTCATTTGTTATTTTGGATCCCCACCTAAATAAAACTTGATCAATTAAGCTTATAAGGTAAAATGACTGAAGATTTGAGACCGTCAATCTAATGTCACGATAAATTTATCGAATGAGTTCTTTTCATTTCTAGAGAAATCTTCATTAAATAGCTTGCAGACAGTTAATGGCCCACTCCTGCTGCACTCCTGGCTCATGTCATCGCTCATCTGTGTCTTTTCTAGACAGCAAGCGTTTCTCTATCTGCTACGGCGATAAAGAGCTCGCAGCGATTTCTTGTGAGACGCATCAGCGGGCACAGCGTCTTCAAGACGAGGAACGCCGCGGGCCAAATACTCGCCGCGCCCCTCCGCTTAAGGACACGAGACTCGTTCGTCGTCTGTCGTCGGACTGAAAAGGGAATATGCACACAAACATCGTCATTTTTTTCACTAGATGCTTTGATTTGTGGGACCTAGAGCAAATCAAAACAACCTGGATGTACATGTATGGTGATTTCAGTGGTTTGACGGAGGATGAAGAGGATATAGTAGCAACATTGAGTGCAATATGTATCTGCAAGGCATGACAAAGTGAGATTTCATAACATTGAATAGCCTATAAAATACAGAGTTCGAAAGCAAAAAGTCATTCGACGCCAATGAATAATTAAGGGTTGCAAGCACACCTACTCAAGCTCCAACCCTTTGCTATTGTGATATAAAGATAACATTAAATATGCTCGTTCGTCAGCACTAACTGCACTTCGTACTTTTCGGAAAACCCTTGTACCTTACAGCAGAAAATGTAAAGATGCGTTTATGTCACCTAGCATTTAAAGCTAATTGACTGATAATGCATTTGAATTATTGTGTTTCCAACATATCTACAGGTTAGAAACATTTTATTTAACTGTCACCCTTTACCATCTTAATAGTAGTCCTTAGTAGTTACTTGTTACTTATCGACAATACATTTAGTTTTCATCTTATTGTAAGCTGGCCCTCTCAGCCACACTTGCGCCTTCAAGCTGGAGATAACTTCCGGAGAGATAACATTAAATCTTTTTTGAATCCATCTGAGTTTTCATACAAAACCCGCCATCAACATCCTAAAGAGGATCAAAGGTTACATAGGGCCTATTCATACGTCGTATAGGCCAATCGAGTTGCAAAGGACATTCGACAGGAAAGCTGTCATTACATCACACGAAAGCATTTTTTCAGTCGTGTGCCATATTTGCAAACTCATGAATTGTTTAATTAAAATAGTCAAAAGGATGCACAAGATCCTATATCAAACTGATATGCTGCAGTCATTCCCTTTCCAGCCACGATAGCACTGGCAGAAACAATATCCTCCAACATCCAAATCATAACGTGACAAAGTAGAGAAGGGGCTTAGTAAATACCGCCCTCTCAGGATTATTTCACATAAGCTCAACAGATGGCGCTGTTTTGCGCGCGTCAAGATATTCCCGACACATCTACCATTACTGCTAAAGATTGACTGACTGCACGGCAGCGTCGGTCCTGGCCTTGACCAGCGGACCCAGGGCTGAGGTGATGTACCTCCGAACCTCTTCCCAACCTTTTCTTGTCTTGGTGTCGACAATCGGATTCCAAAGCACCACTCCAGACACACCTAACTCTTTGTTTGTGACAAAATTTAAGCGTTACAATAACAAAGAAAATCTTCAAAAAGTGAGTTGTAAATATGGAATACATTTTATTTTTATCTGTTCATTTGAAGGCCGGGAGTGCCAGTTACAGGATGAAGTGATAAAGAGGACAGACAAAAAATGTTCAGTTTCAGAGGGGGAATGAAAACCTGATCCACATACTGACCTAGGTGGGATTCGAACCCGGGTTGCAGAGGTGAACGGCGAAGAGAGACTCAACTTCACCAACCTGACTTCCCTTTTGTAACTTTTAGTTTCTTTAAAACTACTGCTTTCAGGGTCTCAATGCAATAGATTTTAAAAACAACACGTGTAATGGCAAAATCCAAGCTGAAACTAATAACCAAACTGGACAAGGTGTAGTTTGGTTTTACTTTGAGAAACAGATCGGTTCTTTCATACTTCATTTGGCAATAACTAAACTTCTGTCGATAAATGAATGTTTGGCCAAGAACTGTTTCCACAAACTGGGCTCGTTTCTCCACCTGGTCCCCCAATGTCTTCAATTTGGTAGTGCTGAGATAAATGGTGGGACACAACGTGGCCACTTAATTGAACAATCAAGACATTTTCTTAGCAACTTACATGGAGAGTTCGGCACATTTGTTAGTACCACAACCCATAACCATATACATGTAGATATATATATCTGTATTACAAATTAAAAGGTCAAATATTAAAAAAAAATAAAACAACAGTTGAACATATCATTTAACATTTTTCTCATTCAAGTAATAATCATCAATTGCAGAGTGAAACTGTTTCAAATCTGAAGATGTTTATTAAGCACATATGTTAGTCTTTATACTTGAATAGTTTCACTTATAAAGAAAAGTGTACATGTACGTGGAAGTGGGGTTCTTAGAAAATTCAGTTGACCAGTTTTATTGAAATGGTTGAAGACTAGTGTAAATTAAAGTTACCTATATGTAGAAAACTATACTCCAACCATATTTAGCAATAAAGAAATCAAATGGAATTGTAGTGAATTCCTGAACAGCTTTAGCGCTGCAGTCCTGCCCTGGCATTTTTTAGAGGTCGGTAAATCCCCCTCTTTGTTCAGACCTGCGGCTTTTATAATTGAATTCAATGGACAGGGTAGGGCTCTTCATTCCAGCAAAGTAGTATAAAAGCTTAATGCATGCAGAATGCAACATCACTCCTTCACTGTGCAGCCGAGCTTCCACAAGTCACTGGTCCACTACTTCATCTAGCAGCCATTTTTTCTTAGTTCAACTTGTGTTCAGATGCGGGGATAGGATCTGATTAGGCAGTGCTTTCTCCCTACGCTGACTGTTCCCGCGGAAGGACACATTTCCTTAGTATTAATTATTGCACATATTAAATCTTCACTGTTTCGTCGAGTCAACAAGCGGCCGGAGAAGACTGAGACTCAAGTTTTTCCTTTAGGGGTAACTATTTCCATCTTTATTTAATTAAATTAAAGACCAAACCTCTGAAGAATCCAGCACAACAGGTCTCATCAAAGCAGTGCTTTCTGGTACATGTACCTATTTCTTGTCCTTTGAAGGGCGCCCCTTTTTTCCACTTGTGGTCTTCATTCTGCTGGTGTTTCTGCAAATGATAGCAGGTGGCATATTGGGTATGACAGTTACGACAAATGTGTGCATTTCTTGCTAACAGGAAGAAAGTGTACTTTTAGATAGGCAGGAGGAAACCGGAGTACCCGGAGGAAACCTGCTAGAGCGAGTATGGAATTGAAACCAAAATTTAATTCACTTAAAGCCTGGGCCAATCTGGGACTCGAACCCTCGTCTCATTGGTGCAAACCGACAAATACTTGTCATCTAACAGTGCGTAATTTGTAAAATCAATCAGGGACCACGTTAGGCAATGCCTTTTCACATACAAATCTGCTTTCCATGTCGTTGAGTCACGGCGTTGTCAGCAGGAACCTGGGGATTTAACGCCACACTACATTTTCAGTTCATCATATAAGACAGCTAAAACCTTGGGATGGAAACGTCGGCAAAAAAGTTCTCCACTGTCAAAAGCTCCTGCTCAGCAATTTCTTCTTCTTGTTCATACCATGTTTGCTTCGACTATGGACCTCGAGCTGGACCAAGAGAGGGCACTATTCCCTTAGCAGCAGAGGCTCCTTTGGTACTATTTGCATCGCTCTGAACGTAGAGGGCCTCTGGCTCGAATCATCGTCAGTCCGCGATTCCTGCGAGCCCGTGCCGGACGTGGTCCTTAGGCTCGGACTAGACCAATTAATGCCACGGCTGTATTCTGGGCCCAACCGCCGGTCGTCATATGCCTTAGGTTTAGCGGAGTCGAAGGAGCCCACTGCGGGTTCGCTAGGGGTGCACCCATGCAAAAAGGCCCAAAATATGTCCGCCGAGCTCATTAATAAAAGTTATACACTCAAAATATTTCATATTAGAGAGTCCTGAGAGCCATGAAATTGAGGAATTGGAGAAATATGACACTGAACCTCTGGCCCGGACTTGGGCTTCCAATTCTGAGCAATTTGGGTGCAGTCGGGTCCCGAAGTGGCACTATTTGGCCGTTTTGCAGAGAGATGGTTTTTCAAAATGGCTACTTTCCTGGGCAGGGACATTTTCTTCATTCTAGGGGTGGTCTGCTTCTGGTGAACATTTCTCAAAAATCCATTGGTCAACCCAAAAAAAATTGAAAGGAAAATGAAAGGGGACATGTCGATCATCGTTTTTCTGTGCAGCATGGACACCTGTGAGAGTTGTGAGTATTTTTAAAATAATTGTGAAATGTGGGGATTTATCTTTGCTGTCTATGGAAATTTATTTGTAGAGGTGCACCCCTAGCCATTACAAGGTAGGCCTACAGTTCACAGTCTAAATTTTGTTTGTAGTTTCTATTATAGGCGTGCACATAATTTCATTACAAGATTTTATCAGTCATGGTTGCCACCGTTGCATATGTGGCCAAGGTGGGGACTGACCTTTCGTTAATGCTCTTCATTCATTCGTACGTCCGCACATATACCAGGCAAGATATGGGACGGAGGGGTACTCCCTTTACCTGTCCCATCCCTGTACGCGCTCTGGACTATTGTTACGTAACACATCCACCCCAGAAGTCTGTAAAGAATTCCTGAGATTCCGATCAAGCAATGACCAACACAAAGGCGGCCGGGGTTCTCTCCGTCCCATATCTTGCTTCAAATGTCCGCACAGGCGGCATGTCCGAACAGGCAGTAAGTGAGCGAATTCATAAAATGTCTGGTAGGAGGTAATTACCATTCAGCTTTTCAACAACAGCGGCCGGTTGGGCATTGCATTATTCCTTCTCCTAGCGAAGAACTTTTGTATTGTGGTCTATGGTCGGTTTACCAAGTTATTAGTAGGTGGATTTAAGCATTAGCAAACCATTGGTGTTCCGTGATACAGTTGTGATATTGGTAGGTCTGAGATTGGTTGTTGGCTAATTGCCGAATTTAACACAGGGGAAAACGTGTCGAGAAATGTAGCTCTGTTTTGCGCACGCATTTATCTCAATATGCTATTAGAGGATTTCACAATTGTCAGGAATGTGGTTCTGCCAGACGCGTTAGGTCATACCTGGTTCTTACGTCGAAAGCGGTTTAGAGGCATTTCGCATTAGCACTGTCTGCGAATATCCGCATCGAAACCGAGCCTCTCTGTGTTGAACTTAAGCTTCGTCGCGCGAGCCCGCAGAGTCGACACAGTAGGGCCTCCATGCTGTATCTGGTTCGAAAGTGTGACGCCACTTCAACTGAAACCACGCCCACTGCACAGATACAAGACCATCGCAGGTACGTTAGTTTGCAGCAATTTGCCGTTATTTTTTCTTTTGATTTTACGTGTCGAGTCATTCTGAAAGACTCTTCCACAAAAATTTGCAGCCCAGAAAGTCTGAATCTAACATACCTTTATGTATTTTGTGTCTTAACTGCTTACTTTCAATCGTCTGATCATATCAAGAATTGAAGCTGACACATACAGCCTCGTTTTCAAACGCAGAAGTAAGCAGGTCGACGCTAAAAGCGTCGTGTTGGGATCACTCTATTACCCATCTATTTCAACACTCTTTTGTTTTGCCCCGTTGGTCCGAAACACATTGCACGTCGATGAAGGGGAGGGTCCCAATATCATTGTAGGGGATGCTTTATCGTGAGGAGTGCCTTGGTACATTATTGAGGGGCAGTGGCCCGGTATGTTATTGGGTGAGGGCCTTTATAACCAGCCTGAGTTATGGGAAGAGATTTTGGCGGTGTGTCCGGTGAGTGGCCCTTTAGTGAGGCGTTGGCTTCATGGAAAGTGGGACCTGTTTGATTTTTTCAGCCATTCGAGGGTCGCTACAGGGAATTTCAACTCTAGTGTCCCCCCATCAATGTGTTTTCCTAACGGTTCGTAACGCAGCTATCTGCAAAGGCTTCGTCTAGTTCACCAGTGAAATGATAACAAAGCGCAGTATTGAAGGTTCCGTGGAACTGTAGGGTTAGGTGAGTGAAGTTGACCCACCTAGATGCGTCAATGCTCTCCCTGTTTAACCGAATAAACCCAGGCTGGTCAATCCATCGGAGGACGTCGCTTTTGGTGATTACTGGCCACCCAGCGTGACAGCAATGAATGACATTTGCTACAAAGGCGCTACGTTTTATGTTAGTAGTATGTTTACCCTATAGGGCCTTGGCCTTGAGGGTAAAAAGCCTTGGCCTTCAGGACAAAAAACGTCTGTTCCATGTTGGCCTACTGTTGCAAAGCTTCATATAGGCCCTATGATAAAAAAATACTTGTGTTACGCGCCTCAACAGCGATATATGTAGTATACAGCCTTCCAGGACAGAAATCTGACGTTGCCATGCATACTGCATCCTAGTCCACGTCCATGTACATGATATAATTGTATTTGTCGGTACACTTGTAACAGTCAAACCTCATAAATAAGAGAACTGTTAACCCTAACTCCCTAGGATGTTTGCAAAACCCTACTAAAATTGGAAGATTTAGGACCATGCTGCTTATTGCGAGGAAAGTAGGTCAGTATCCTTTGTTCTCTTTTTTTTTTCATTCCTGACAATGCAACGTTATTGTAACAAGGTAATGTGCAAAGTCCGAAGGCCTCTCACTAATGAGGTTCGATGGTACACAATTCAAACGTTGTTCAAGAACACCCAGGTCCGTGGATTGCCCTCAGAAAATTTACATAATTTTTACCCCTGTCATGTTAATGCTAAATTGGCATAGGGTTGTGTGGGTGGCTGTGTGTGTGTAGATTCAGTCTTAACAGCGCGCCTATTTTGACTAGCAGTAAGTATTATGTGTGTGAGGTCACCAACGTTTTTATTGCCAGAATAAACTTGTCATTGATTGACTGGTATTCATGTTGTTTGTAATACCGGTCAGTGACAGTGAGGGAGAATCGTCACAGAATCATTAACTAGCAATATGAATCATTTGGACATAGCCTAGACAGATAATCAAGCTACAAGGTAAGTGCTATGAATGACTGGTTGATGGTGTGGTGCAATTCATGTAATATGGGGTCCGTTTAACTAAATGCAACCCTTTAAACATTCATTTTAGCGTGCACAACCTGCTAATATCCCGACGGTTTCGTGTTGTGGACAGAGCACTCTCTGTCAAAAATACAATCATCAGCTCCATTTCGTTCTGTATTTTCAGTTGTCCCAGTACAAGGTGCACAGGAACTGATTATGCACGGACTTGGTCTGCAGATCATGTAAGCAAACTGGTGATTGTATTTTAAACCACGATAACTCAATGTGTTGGTGTTCTGGCACGATGTCGTCCATATCAATTATTATCATGCTACAGAGCGTATCGTTCAGAACGAATAAAGTACGCGTCTCGTGACCGGGTTACAATAATGAGCCTGACCGGGGCCTCGTGTACTGTACAATCAGTGCCTTCGTTGCGATAAATAGTACAGGCTGTGGAGGGGTCTGTTGATACCCCAGGCGCAGATTTGAGGGGTGACCATCCCCACTTCAACTCAAAAAGAAATAAATAGTGATAAAAAACAATCATTGCAATCATAATAATTTTTTAATGACATTTAGCGAATTTTATTATTTGTACATGATGAGTGAAAAGGAGACTACAGAGCATTACTGGTATGTAATATGTTAATGTGTCTGCATACCTGCAGCAGTCGAGCATTGAGAAATTCGACAGGCCTGAACACACCTCGGAAAATTCTCAAAAATACTCTTCAATTTCCACGGGCTGACTTGCATCCAGCTGTTGGACTTTTAATTTATTACACTTGCTGATGTTGGCCCCTGAAATATTAAAGCTTGTATAATCCTACAAGAAAAAAAGAATGTTTTAATGAACTATACAAATAAAATGTATGAACAAGGAAAAACAAAGTCAAAGCGGCAAGTGGAAAATCAAAGTGAAAAATAATGTACGAGCCGATCAAGTTTGAAAAAGAAAAGTATTTACGCACATAACGCGGCGACACAACTGAAAACAGTCTGGCTGTTAGGATTTCCTTATCATATTATATCCTGGTGTCAGTGTTACAAGGTCACATGTATTGTTTGCGTCGCGTTAGCCTGTACTTACACTGGATACATTAGTGTGGATATGCTATACACGATAAAGTCAACACTGTTATAAGGTTTCCAAAATGCTCGGGTGAAAGTCCTTGTCAGCCACCCATTCAAGAGTATAACTTAAAGGATCCAGGAAATGAATTTTTTTTAGAATTACTTTTTGTGTATCTCTGTACTCTTCTTCCATGTATGAAGACTGTCTGACATCTTTTTTGAGTTGCGTGAACTGAATGGTGCACCTTTTCAAACATTAAAAATTGACCAAGCATTTCTGGACAAGTGAGGGCGCTTTTGCTTTGATGTAAATCCAGGAAGACATGGCTCATGTTGCATGTTTTCATGTTCAAATTGTGAACCCCAACTTTGCTATCTGGGAACTTTTCTGTGAAAAGGATTTTTGCTGGATCATTGCAATATACTTACGCAGCAATAAACTGCAAAAAATATAAAATCTACCATAGCAGTGGTTAAAAAAATGTGCACAAATCAGCGCAACATTGAGATTTAGTGCCTTGGATGACATCATAGTTCTGCTCATGAAATATGCAAATATTCATTAGCATAAAAACCAAAAAAGCATCAAAATATGGGTTAAAATTGCAAAACAAATATTAAAGTAAGGTTAATTGAACCCAAATATAAAATTTCAAGGGTTTTTAGTATAATTTGTAAATATATTTCTATTTCCTGGTTCCTTTAAGCAAGGTAAAGAAGCCTAGTCCAGCATGCTGTAACCCCTTGAACCATGCGGGGTTGTATCTCTCTTCTGGGAGCTATAGACAAGCCCTTCTCTCATCAGGTTGGCCTGATTTAGAAATGTCAAAATGAACTGTCAAAATACTGGGCACTGACTGTGTGTAAAAGAGGTAGTGAAAGTGTCGATGGGTACTGATAGTGATACGTCATGAAGTTTTTCACATGAAAATCATTCATTCATTTTTTTCTTTTCACCTACATGTCTTCCTTAACTCGTCAAGCCAAACAGGGCTGGATCCAGATCAACATTTTCGAAGGGGGAAATTGATCATTTCTTCACGTTTGAAATACTGTGCCCAAGGAGAAAGGAGGTTGTCATTTAGATTACCTGTGCATATATATGGCGTGGAAAGGGAGATTGTAAATTTGTTCATTTCTAATAATCAGCAATTGCTATGGTCGTGTGTTAGAATCGCAATTACATAAATTATCAAGGGTGGCTGTACAAGTTTTGTGAGTTAAAACGTGTAAAAAAAAGAGAACAAAATATGTTCCTTGTTCATGCCAATTTGGTTTTCCGACAGCGGATACTCAAATGAAGAACGTCTGAGGTCATTCGGGAACAAATAATACGTGCCCACGAGGTCTGCCTTTCCCGTGCGGACGTGTGTTTGTTTTCGAATGACCTTGCCTTTTTGGGGTCGATTGGTGATACAGTCAAATTTGTTTCAGTCAGAAACGATGTCTGAGGCTTTGAACTTGTTTTGTGTGTGTTTTTACAACCCAGAATGCCTGAGACGAGGATCTTTGCACAGGGATTGTTATTCACACTGACGGTCCTGAGCATTCCTATGGTATCGTCCCTCAAATCGGCATCTCAACAAAGTGACCTATTTGGAATACCGGACGCTCAATCTCAGCAACTCGTCAGTGGGCGACAATCGAGTCCAAGCTCGGCACCACCAGCCCTGGCCGACTGCGCTTTCACGGCAGTGTGGAACATTAAGAACTCTCAACGCTGTCATGCCAAGTTTGGTGTTGACTTGAACTTGGCGTCGTATGGAATCAAGACAAACTCGTTGACAGGAAAAGGTGTCTTGGCTTATTTCAGCCACGAGAACCTTGGACGACTGCCGTACATCCAACACGGCAAATTTGTCAACGGGGGGCTCCCTCAGGTCCGTGGACTTTCTGAAAAAAGCAAATCTGAATGCATAGTTCATCCCATGAATTAGTGTATCCATGGTTAAGACACTTATTACCAAGCACTTTCCCCCATCGAATAGGCATCTGCGTAAGGGCAGAAAAGGCAGCCGTTGTGTTTAGCACGTCTAAAATACATAACTGTACACAGTGCCTAGGTTTGGTTCAAGAAGTATTTTACAGTAAGACCATTTACTGCCCTGGAATTCGAGGTGGTTTATGATTTTGGGGGGTCATGTGAGAAGGGAAGCTGGGTACATTTCATGTTTAATACTGTTATTAACCCTATCAGCTTGTTAACATGACTGCTCACCTGGAGAAGGCAGCTGGAGATATCCTTGCGGCTATCCCAGATGCAAACTACAGCGGCCTCGGTGTCATCGACTGGGAATTTTGGAGTCCTGCATGGAACAAAAACATGCACTCGGCAAAGGTGTACGTGACTGAATCCATAGACCTTGTGCGCCTTCGACACCCGACATGGGACCTGGCTACCGTGGAGGCAGCGGCCAAAACTGAGTTCGAGGAGGCAGCTCGGTCTCTGTTCGAAGGTACGATACTGCTAGCCCGTCGGCTGCGACCCAAGGCCCTGTTTGGCTTCTATCATTTCCCGTACTGCCAAAACCGTGATGACGCTAGGCACTGCAAACCTTTAACGCTGGCGTCAAACGATGAGCTGTTGTGGCTCGCTGACGCCTCATCTGCCCTCTACCCGTCTATTTACATGAAGCAGAAGAACATACGAGCAAGCAGCGCCGTCTACATAGAAACCATTCTCCAAGAAGCTCTACGAGTACGGAACAGCTCTAGGTCACCCACCCTGCCGATCTACAGCTATTGCGCTCTTAATTACACCTTCAGTGGTTACTACCTCAACTTGGTAAGCACTTGTTATAACTATTAACTGGGTTATCATTTCTAAGAAACTTAGCATCATTTGATACTTTGCTGGAATTGGGATGACAAGTTACTGGAAGACCACTTTCTGTGTTGATCAGAAGTCTGATCAGAATACAATCCAGAAGAGTCACCCGGACCAAATCTTTTGGGAAGCTTGTTAAACTTAAAACTGATTTTATAGTTGAAAATCCGTCTGATGCGGGTCACGAAACGTTTTGTCTGAATAGCAGTTGGTTAAAGCATTCAAGTTTTATAACGATGGCACGTATATGACGAATGTGTCTTTCCAAAGCATTGTTATATATTGCCTTTTCAAGTATATGAAAAGTAATGGGTTTAGGCTACATTCAGCTCCAAGTTTTCTTCCTACTCTCTATACATCTAGGAGGACTTGCGCAACTCTATCCTGCTGAGCGCCGAGCAAGGCCTTGCCGGTGTGGTCTTCTGGGGAGATAACAACGACACTAGCAATCGGGCAGCTTGCCTGGACCTCCAGGGATACATTAAAGCAGCCCTTGGCCCGTTGGTTCAGAAGACAACCAAGGCGGCGGCTCGGTGCTCTGCCGCCCTCTGCAGCGGCCACGGCAGGTGTGTGGGGAAGATTCTGGAGTGTGTGCCAAAAGGAGTCCAGGCGCTATCAAGGACGCCCTCTCGCGTCACCGGTAGCGCGAACGTGACCTTTGTCGAAAAGATGCCTTCTGAATGTCGATGCCAGTGTTACGAGGGATGGAATGGAGATAACTGTGATCATTGTACATAATCGATTTTCTTTAATGCGGGAACTGTGATATTGTTCGCATTTTTGCTGAACTATTTCCTGCGAAGTTTTAATCCTTTCTCGAGTTGGTGCGCCATTCTTTGCGATTCCCATCTGGCTATTTTGACATTTAAAGATGTTAATTGATGAAGGACATTTCTGTCGTATTGACCTTAACTCAAAGGGGTATATGTGAATCATAATGAAATCGAAGGATTTGAAAATGTGCGGGTTAAGCTTATGTGTAACTGAAAAAATTACTAAACCGAAATAAACACGGTTCTTGTCATCCGTTATTGGAAACAATTTTGGGGGAGGGGTTTTACAGTATAGTTGCCGATTTTTCTAACATTTTATAATTGCATCAATCTGTACTACGAGTGTACAATCTTTGCACACCCACCTTTCAATCGGTGCCAAGGTCAAGGGTTTTTTTTTTCCCTAGATGGCATATGTTACCTACCCACTATTTCCGACTTTGATAAGCAATAGTGCCTTCAACTTTCCCTAGCTGTTTAGGGATATTCAGAACCATAGTTATGCAATAAGAGGAAAAGTTTGCGGACGATACAAGTCACATTGATGTTTTTTTTTTAGCTAATTAAGGGTTGTATCATCATCCCCTGTTAATTTTTAACACGCCATCGATCTTCAGGTAAATTTTGTCCTGACGGAGAAAAACGCAGCCACAAAATGGATTTCTGAGAGACTTTCTGGAAGGCTTTTATGTTTGAATATATTAAATGAAAAAAGATCAGAATTTTCATCATTTCTAAACCCAAAAAAATCGTATTTGTATTATACATGCAGGAAATATGCCTTTCATATACATGTAACTGTAGAAGTCATGAACGTTATTTACGCTGTTGCAAATTACCTGAAATCTGAAAGATTTTCTGTTTCATGTATCTTGAAGCATAAGACAATAACCAATATTGTGTAATTTAATATGTCTGTCGAATCACCACTAAAGTTCCCGGGCCGATTCAAACGTTCTGTAGAATCAATTGTATAACACACAGTAATGTACAGCACATCAACAGCACATTGGAGGAGGATTATTGAATAAGGTGGGCGTTGTTCTGCATTAAGGGTGCACTTTGAGTCTGAAGAATTTTTTTCAATACATTTTCAATGCAAAAAAAATCTGTGCAAGATTGGTTTACGTCTTCAAGTAAACTTCATCCGATCTTCAAAATCGAAAAAATAAGATGTTTTGGTTTTGCTTTGTCAGGTTTACACGATGTTTTGGTCTCAAGTTCCGTTAGCTTCTTTTGTCTATGAACACTTCTTGAACCCACTGCGCATGACTGCCACTGGCGCATGCGCCATGTGATCATCCATAGTACCCAGTCTTGTTAACCAATTAGTTTTGGGAATGATAAGGAAATGTAATTGTATATTGGACGTGTTTGTTTACACATCATTCGGAGCTACAATCCAATAACTGGAGTGTAATATAAACACTACACTTCCAATCTTGTTTACCTTCCAATCATATTCAATCTTGATCGTGCTAAATACGTCCGTTGATGGACAAATTAAATTCCAACTCTCGGAGATCAATAGGACGCGCTGATGGAGCGTGGTCATTGATCGTTTAATTACAACCAATTTTTCCCTTCTTTTAATTATCGCAGTGTGAGCCCAGGCTTGTGAAAACAGCGAAATCCGATATTAGGGATATTATATGTAAATAACAATTAAATATTGACGCGAGCATGTTGCTACAAATGGGCATTTTCCCAGAGACATCGCGCAAACGGATGTCGTATTAACTCCTGATAATTTAACTGTGTCAGTTTGGCAAAGTCCCCCCCCCCCTCGAAAAAGTGAATAACTAGAATATACAAAAGTATATCATAGGCAGGGACAATAATTATGGAACCATGGTCAGAATTCACTACTGAGCCACATACACTCGTTTTACTTCAACATGTGAGGCACGGGGGCCCCTACTTTGAGTATGACAAGGATCAGGCCCATCAACAAGCACTCACCTCCCCCTCTTGCCTACCTCCTGCAAAGCCACAGGACCCACTTTTTTAACATGGAGATCTAACACCCCCCCCCATGTGGGAAAGAAACCTTCCAACAAATGGCGTGAGACCATGAACACATATACTCGCCAATCCTCCGCTACTGTCCTTACCATACCTTCAAGCAAACAGGGTCACGAGAACATATTTATTCTCTCTTAATCAAACCCTCCTCCCTCACCTCCTTCGAGTGCCACTTTACCCACCCCTAATCCGCCATATCTTGACCGAGTCACGTCCACAACACGCCCCGTGAAGTAATTACCCAATTGCCCGTTCATCGACACAATTCAGGCTTTGAAAGGGCTCAATCAGATGATTTTTTAGACATTGTTCCCTGCCTAACGCACGGTGATTTCTTTCTGGCATTGTACGAGCACAAAAACACAAAGCTGTCTTTGAGCCTGTTTTACTTTTTCCTCCACCGCTCGCGACTCGACAAAGCGATTATCTCCCCCTCTGTCAAAACACTTGATGTTTTATAAAAACAGCACCACAGTTGACACTAATTTGAAATTAATAAGTTCTGAACTGGGTCACGTTAACTGAGGCGGAAATTAGGTCTCGGTTGCCTTGGCAAAATAATTGGTCGTGTCAAAATTACTTAGCTGTGGCTTTGATTTTACATACGACTCCATGGGTATAGGACCGCTGGAATTTCAAACTACAGATAAGTATAAACTGGGACTCGGTCATCACTTTTCATTCCAACAACTGGTAAGGCACCGATAGAGTTCCATGAATTTGGAAAAATTGGCAATGCTATGTTCCTTTTAATTCCTTTTAGTTCCTTCCCTCACGCAAAACAATGGGAAAGCCACGATTGGGTTTTTCAATTTCGCATTACCCAAGATTTCTGTCCAGGAAGAAGCAAGCTGTTAAAATTTAACGCGAAAAACCACATGTCCGATAAATTTTCCTGCCGATTGGTCAACGGGCGGTCGGCTCTTGGTCCAGAAATTACAATTCTAAATTCTCAGAGTAGTGGAAATAGAACCACTCCACCCAGTACTGAGATAAACTTTGCAAGTATAAACATTTGTACCACCCAGTTAGAAACTTCTTACTCTTTGACGTCATGCACGTAACTGACCAATGACGTTTCACAATCATTTCCGAGGGTGATTTTCCTGAGGGAGCTGCTGTGCCGTTTCCGCCTCCCTCGATCTCCCGTTTTTGTTCCGACCCATCCGTTAAAGCTTGTCGCGAGGCGCTAATACTGAATTATTAATTACACCTCAGTCGGTTTTTGCTCTGTACATGAGTTCGATTTTTTTTTCCGGAGGAGGGAAAATAAATAGAACGAATTGATGGGATTAGAGATTCAGACGGGCGATTAACGCCTTGCTGTCATTTATGGCACCTGTGTTAGACCGCTTAAATACTGAGACGTAACCGAGGTAAGCCCTACTGATGTGCCGCCTGCTCCTGGGGCATGAGCAAAGTAAAGACTGTCTTACTTATCTGAGGTCTTGTAGCAAGCTTTTATTTGCCTTGCTAATAAGTTTTGATGGATCTGCCGATTTCAGTAGCATCCATCGGTTAAGGGAGAAAAACTGATTTACTGTGGCGAATCTACAGGTGGTTTTGCTAAGCGACGACCGTAAAGTGTGTAGGTTTGAGTCACACGTGTTTGCAGTCATGTTGAGCCCTGAATCTTACCACACGATGTTCCCCTTGACACCCACTGTCTGGCATAGTGCTGCCTTATCCCATCTGCCGTACCGCACCATGATACTTAGTCCACCTCTCCCGTACCCGATGTCGTCTATCAAGAGGTATCACCGTCGCTGCCACCGTAGAAATAGCAGGTCGACATCTTTTACCATAGATTCCATCTTGGGTTTGCAACAAGAAGACGCGGAGACGAGACACTGCGAGAAAGGGGACAGCCAGACAGTCTGTGATCTTGACCCATACCGGCAATCAGCCATATCGGACGGCGTGAAAGTGCCAAGCCTTCACCGCTCACTGCCTGCCTCCCATATCTCACTCTATCCGGCCTCAGCTTATCTTGCTCCCCAGATGACAAGCGGAAGAACCATCGTAAGATCTAACACAGAAGAATTTAGTGAAACGGGAAAGGACCTCGACTATGACTTTTTGGAACCGTTTGAAGTCATCAACAGTGACAGAAAAATAAATGGTAAGTATACTTTACTGACTAAATTTACACGCTAAAATTCACACCTCCAGAATGTTGTTTTTATTTTGCTCATTTTGATTCTTTCGTTTTACTAAATATGTCAGACACTGCTTGCTTTATCCGTGTACGGTTTTTTCATTACAAATTTCCTGGTGCATCTCTAATGACGTTCTTTTCAGTATTCGCAACAGAAAAACGTCACACTAGAACATTTTGAACAAAAATGTCAAACAGTGTCAACAGTTATCAGCTCTTCTTCTTTCGTTCCCTGTTTTCTTACTATAAACGTCATTTTTAATATTCAAGAGAACCTAATTAGTGAGCAACGAATTTTTCATCTCGCTTGCTGTTAATCCCGTTTTTACCCTGGGTCTGTCTTCGCGTGAGCTTTAACAGGCTCGCAACGTCTTCGATCGTCAATTTATAACCTTCTCAGAGCTACTAATGGATCTCCATTATCAACGTCGACGTTCGGCAAGATTAATTGCCTCCCTAACACAATCCTCTCGCTAAGCTCCCCCCTCTTCTTGCACCGGCACTTCATTAACTTTGTTAATTACAATTCAAAAACGACAGAGAGCCCCGCCCGGTCCACTTGGGTGTTTCTTTCAGCAAGGGCCGCCTGTCAGCTGAGCCGATTTCACGGCCCGCCACACTCCCTCAAAGGCTCCGCAAAACGTTCGTTTTGTCGCACATTGATTAGGAGCCTGAAATAGGTGCTGGAAAAAATAACTAGGTCTGAGTAGTCTGACGTGGCCTGTCAGATATTGAATGGGGATTGTTTGTATTCAATTATGGCCAAGAATAACATGAATGGGGAAGGATGACAGCACATTAGGGAAGTTTTTGAGAAAGCTTGGCAGCTTCCGTCCCAACTGTCGGCCAGCACAAAGAAGGGGTGTGAAGACGGGCCCTTGGGGATCCGTAGGGGGCTTGAGATGTGTCTAAAAGGGTTAAGTCTTACGAGTTGGAGTGATAGATATTGACAAAGTGTATCTTCGTGTTTAAAGAGGATCGAATTAATCATGATGAGACTACCCATTTTGGACGTGTAGGACCTCTCTCCTAACGGCAGGACAGAAATTGCAGGAAGGACAATGAAGTCACTGTTTTCTCAATATAATTCTTCTGAAGAAGCTTTTCATCCAAGTGCGTAATGTCCATATTAGACTTATTTACTTAACTTTCTACCCTCCCTTTTTATTTATTCTAAATTTGGTTTGGCTGTTCAATCCTACAGTTTCCCAAAACGTCAATAATGTCATATGTCAAATAAGATGTCTAAATACATGTAGCTAGACTTAAATTCTTCCTGGGTTTATAAATCCACAATGATCCTGAAATCGCCTTGGAATTTGATCCAAATATTTATTTCGTATTTTCTGCACAGACCGAGCGGAGATAGGCCTATGCCCCAGCACGAAGCGATCTGGGCTTCCGGATCTGGACTGGAATTCTGAGGTTACTGAGCAGAATAGCAAGCCCAAGCGAGTACGCACGATCTTCACCCAAGAGCAGTTGGACCGTTTGGAAACCGAATTTTCCCGGCAGCAATATATGGTCGGCACGGAAAGACTGTACCTGGCTGCCCAACTCGATCTGTCAGAGTCGCAGGTGTGTGGATGGTTGATGTAAGAGCAACACCAGATGAATTGGGGGACATAACAAGCCATTGATTCATCTTAGTCTTTAATTCCTGCAAAAATCTTACCGTTTTACCAATTCTTAACCAGGGTCATATTAAGGTTTACACGGTATTTCATTTTGCGAAGAGCTGCACATGCATAACATCCAGACTTCCCTTTTTGTTCCCTTCAAAAGGTCAAAGTGTGGTTTCAGAACCGGCGTATCAAGTGGCGCAAGCAGAACCTGGAGAGCCAGCAGGAAAAGCTTGCCAAATACCGCGCCATGAGAGCAAAGGAGCGACAAGTACGCGTCCAAGACGGGGGTAGTCCAACGGAGTCGAGGATAGCTGACGAAGCCAGCGACGATGAAGTCACTGACGACATTAATGATGAGAACAAGATCAAGCCAGACGAAGGAGTCACCGCGACGGAATCTGAATCCGTAACAACGGATGCTACCACTCATAGACGAGGATCATCCTCAACGCTCGGAATCCCTCATTCCTCTCACGACTTAGTCGCACGACTTAGTGTGAAATGACCAACTTCTAGGTTCAGCTAGAATACAATCATCAAAGAACAATTAAAAAAACTCTGACTGTAATAGTCACGACTGTGCACTCATTGAATTGCACCTGTCACTGTGTCAACTATTCTTGACCATCCACTGTCTCTCATGGTTCAAAGTTATAATTTTATGAGTTACTATGTTACATGTATACTAACCTTTTTCCGAAATGTTGACTTTAAAAAAAAAATGTTTAAAAGTACAAACGTTCAGTTTATCAGAAAAATCGAACCAAGTACCGGAGTATAATTGCATCTAATTTGCTGTAATTCACTCTTGGAGTAAAATAGGTGATTCCAAGAATGAGCTTAATAAAATGAGCAACGAAGATATAACAAGGTCAAGATATGACAAGGTCATTGTGATCTTCTACCCTTTAAGAATAATTATTGTTTATATAATTATGATCTTGATGGTTCTTCTTATTAAAATGAATTCATCCACTGTCTGACACCGTCATCATCGTTATCGTTTTGCGGTATGGAAAAATGATAGAATGAGGACATTTTTAATTTGGATGCACGTAGTCCCAGGTCATTCATAGAATACCGAAGTGACTTCGTTAGGCGCAAGAGTGTATGCGTAAAAGGCATTAGAGCGAGAACCAACGCGTGAACCAACACGCGCATGCACTCCATTCGTTTGCACTACACTTTCTGGTTCAAAGTGACGTCACACTTCGACTCTATAACCCTTTTGAAACAAATGATAAGATTTTTTGATCCAAGTAATGCAGCAGTGCAGATTTTCAGTTTTATTTCTTATTCCATACAAAGTACGAAAAGCAACAAGCCCATTCTCACCAACTGCAAAGCCTGTAATGTATTTCTTAATAGATCTGGAAGTACCTAAGTGATTTACACTTTATTATAAACCTAAAATTTGATGAGTACCACGAACCCTGAATAAATAAACTGTCCTCTTCAAGCACTGGCTCTAACGTGAAAGGCATGTCAAATAATGCATCTTTCTACAGAGACGTGTGTTTTTATAGACAAATCGCCTCCTTCGATCTATAGGAAGTACGGATCAGCAGGCGGACTCACGCCTGCCAGTCGGCATGGGCGCGCCGGTCTACCCACGAGCCCCATCGATTTTTACACCACACACGTCACATGTGCGACGCTGCTCTCCCTGACGAGCAAGTTCAAACAGTTTTTGTCTAATTGTCAACCGCCGTTGTTGTAGTGAATGCAAGGGAAGTTAATAACTGATGAGGGACAACTACATGTGGAATGGTGCAACAAATTAAACAGTTCCCAAACTGTTACGGAAATTACGGAAGATATTAGGGCACTTTCCCAGCCACAACCTCAAAGCTGGGTTGGTCGGTTGAATAGCCCCTCGACAGAAACATGCTTCTTAGGGGAAATCTAGCTGGTTTAAATATTGTATTTTGTACATTTTGTCTAAAAAAATACTTACGTGTATTTTTAACGCCATTGTTTGTTTTATCAAGCGTATCTTGAAAGATGATTAAGTTTTTTCATGTTAACTGACACTGACTATGTGTGTCGCCTACTCCGGCAGTAATTTGAATTTCATATCGTCTTTGACTTACTTTTAAGGCCTCGTCGAAAACATTCAGGCTTGCCCTGCAATCCTCATTGTATCTTGGAAGGTAGAATTTTTTATTTACTTTATATTCTCAGCTTTATCGTATTTTTTGACTTGTCAGACTCTTTCATTTATTAAAACATAAATGAACCGGGATAAATCCCGTAAGAGATGAAAGTAAACATCCCCAAAATTTTACCAAGGGTGTTGGCTATTGTCATGGTAACGAAAAAAAATGACATTGAGAAATTTTTTCGAACTTCCCCTCAACCAAATGTATTCCACAGTCCTGGTATACACGTGCTGATGCGAGTAAAGGGGTAAGGGGAATAAGTACTCTTATCTTCAGGCAAACTTGAATTCTCAATTCTGATTGGTAGATCCTTGACAACAAGCAGTGTGATAATCCGGTTTAATATGAACTGAATCTGCTTGCCCTGAAGAAGGTACTCAGTTACCAAAAGCTCGGCAATCACATATTTCAGAGCACTGATTTGATATTATATTGTCGTCGATACTCTCTATAGGGTTACATGCATTGATCGCCGTTTATGTGGAACCATGGAACCGGAAGTTAACGCGCAACTTCTGCGATCGTCCAATGAGAGCTGCGAATCGTGGCGCGTCCGCCTTTGTGACGAAGTCACGAACCGGAAAGCCGTATTGCACGGTTCATACCAAACCCTGTGTAACGCGCTGTTCAACGCATTGCACCATTTTTACGCTAAAAGCAAACGCACCTAAAAGCATCTGCACGACCGTAACATGTTTAAACGCTCGTACAATTCACCAATTTTCTTTCTTAGTGTAAGCCCTGTAGTTATTGTTTTTATTGAAATAAGTGAAAACACAAATAATTCGAATGCTCCCTGGATAAAAATTGCAGAATTGTGGTACTGTTTTTGCTGTTGCGCCGTATGATATCTTTCTCTTCTTCTTTATGTAAAGCGTGCATAGGCCCCTTTGCTTTCTTTACTGCGCGTCAAGTTTGCTTGAAGATAATTCGTTATCACGCTCACACTTGCGGAACAAAGAATAATGTAGTGCGTCTGTGTCCCGTATACCACTCGGCCTTTGTTTGATAACTAATATTACCGTGAACTGGCCCCCTAGTGTCAGGTGGGTTCCATTTTTGATTCAAGCCATCCCTTGCCCAATCCTCTAGCACAAATTTACACCGCTGTAGTCAGTCGTCGCATAGCATGAGCTATGAAATTGTTTTTATGCGTCCGAAAAAACAAAAGATGAATTTCATTGATAAACTGACAGTTCAAATCACTAATTCACGCGAAATTTCTGAATTAATACGTGACGTAAGAATTTATTCAGGTGCTTTGAGTCTCATCCACATACTGTGCAATCATTCAGAGCTACATTTAACTAATTTTTACATTTGTACTGTCACGTACAAAATTATACACTATAACTTCTTTATTTGTTAACATTAACAGAGCTCGGCTCGGCTAGCTCTTTTCTGTCAGATTTTCTTTTTTTTACTAAAAAGTAGTCTGCCGCCCTCTCTCGTTTCCTTTCTCTTTGCTCTAATTTCCATAACAGTAGCGTAGCAACAGGCAACAAAAATCGCAGCCATTCAATGCACTTTTGCTACGCACAGAAAGAAGTAATTCTAGGTGCAATTTAATGAAGCATGAAAGACCGGCTTTACAGTCATAAAATTTGAAGACGATGCTGTACTGGATCTTTAAATCCTCGGAAAATGGTTTTTTGTTCAAAATACTTTTAATTAGCGGGACGACATTGTTGCGAGCTGTGCGGATTAATAAGTAGCTGAATTTTACAGTTGATGTAGTTCCGTTCTCTCGCAGTAAAGCAAAATGGCGACGAAGATGTCGTTCGGAAATATTTTCCAGCAGAATAAAGTTGGCGCTGGTGCTGCAAGCGTGAGTGGGCAGGCCAGCGCCGAGGTGACACCTGAATTGCACTTGAAGATGTCCAAGAAAATTGCTCAACTCACGAAGGTAAGTATAGGCCTACTTGATTTTTATATCAGCATTGAAATAGGTCTGCGTGTTTTGGTTTGTCTTTAATGCAGTTGACACGATACGCCCTCTATTTCCGACAGCAGATCCTTTTTTTTTGCCACAGGCTGTGCATGAGGTTTATAACAGGGCACGAACAGGGATTCTGTGGCCCTTGTGTGCCATGTGTACCCACAGACACTGACAGAAATGGTGCTCCATTCCACCCAAGAGTCTGTGTAAGATAGCTTACATACCTTCATACTAAGTACCAAGAAAAAAGAGTCAAAACCTTTTCGATTTTCCAATAAAGGTGCAGTTAGGCCATTTCCCGATCAGTCATGTCAGTGTCTAAGACTAGAGTCATGCGGTTCACGTTTACTTGTCAAGATAAGCTGCAACCAGATGCTTGACTCCTGATGCAGTCGATACACAAGATATGGAAACTTGCTGCTGCCACTTTCCACATATGTGTGTGTAATTCTTAGGCGCGACTGAACTGACTGGTTGAAATGGTAGTTGGCTGCAGTGCGCTGGAGGTCAAACTAAGCGATCACACGGCTGCTCATTATTTATGCCCGAATGGCAGGAATGACAAGCAACAGCCATTAAGTCCAAGTGTGCGTGAGTGTGTGTCACCCTGAAGATTACTGCCATGCCTAGCTGCAAGCGATTCTACACGTTTTAAAATTTTTCCCGCATCAACCGTATTTGGTCATATTAATCAAAAAATTTACATACTCCCGGTGTTACTATACGTAGGAAGGTGGGTCCTGAAATATGCTGAATATTCATTATACAGGTTTATATAGGTTTTGCGCCCTCTTGTGACAGTGACGAAATTAGGACATTAGGCCTTTGGCCAACTGGACATGCCGGATTTGTAAATCGTCATCATCCTCGTTTTACCATGGAACTGTGTTTTGCATTCTATTTCTATTTTCTGTTCATTATGGAGAAAAGAAATATTAAGGAGTCTCATTTGATAGGACTTAAGTTATGCCTAAGCCTATCTGTTAAAGCTTGGCCCAAGTTTTTTTCTTCTGAAATGTCAAACATGTCATAGTTTGTGATTAAACATGTTTGGTTTTCATTTTCAGGTTATATATGCATTGAACACCAAGAACGATGAGCATGAAGCTGTTGTCCAAAACCTCAAAGAAGCACATGAAGAGGAGCTCCAGCAACTGATTCAACAGACCAAAGACAAAATTGCATCATATCAGAGTCGAATAGGCCAAGAGGCAGAACTCAGACAAAAGATCCAGTCCCTAGAAACCACCATTAAAGAGCAGGAAAGACACAAGCAGGAGGCACTTGAAGAATTCACCGAATTCAAGCGCAAGGAAGAACAGAGACAAGCCTGCCTCAAGGCAGACCACTCTAAGACCGTGTTAGGTCTGTCACAAGACTTGCTTGCCATCAAGAGGAACTTTGAGGACAGACTGCAGCAGTTTGAAGAGTCAAAACGGCGTGGAGAACTGGACAGGACAAATGCCTTGGCAGAGCTACGGCAAGCGCATGTCGAGGAGGTAGACAGCTTAAAAAAGCAGCTGCAGTCAGAGCACTCAGGACTCAGCAAGGAACGACAGGAGCTTATTGATCAGTACGAATCAGAGATCAAGAACCTGTACAGTCAAAATAACGAGCTGAAGAACGAGAAGCGGCAGACAGTGGAAGACTATGAGGCCAAGCTGAGCAAAGCCCAAGCCTTCTATGAGCGGGAGCTGGCGGCACTTAAGGATGGGGAGCTGCGGAAGAATGCGGAGGAGTGGAAGGAGCGAGAGGCTGCCCTCAGGAGACAGGCTGCTGAAAGGCAACATGAGCTGGAGAGGCAGATTGAGAACATATCCATGCAGCTAGCTGTCTGTGAGGAAGACCTGGTGGTGTACAAGAACAAGTTGACCCAAACACAAAGTGAACTTGCATTGAGAGAAGGCGATTCAGGCAGTCTAAGCAAACAGGTAAGCTGTCAATCCTCCTTACTTCTAACTCAGTAACAAGATGCAATCCTGCTTCATTCGTAATATGTGAAGCAAATTTCAAAAAATTGAATATAGGCAGTAGTCATTTACTTAACATGGTTGATAGGTTTTCAGGGAAAATATTTTGCTCTGCCTTCTTAAATTTCTTTGCATTTGTTTGGATTTGTTTGAAGTATGGATTTCCATAGGCTTTTCCCTAACAAATTCATCAACATCGAACAGGCATTTCTGATCAGAAAAACCTGTTTGTTTCTTTACATATCAGTGATTTTTTGGCAGAGGACTTTGTGGGATTTTTGATAAATGAAGATCAGAGATTTATCCTTGGTGAATACTGCAAATAAGAGTGAAGCTGACTTAAGCTTCCCAACATGCAAAGATTTACATGTAGATCTGAAGAAAGTAGAGGTCAGATTTAAGCTACGACCACTGACTTGCAGTATTTGTTTGGGGAGGAAGGCTGCAATGCTAAAGCCTCAGCTCCTAATACCGTTTTCTTTATTCCGGGGCTTTTGTGGAACTAGAGGAGGCTTAAGGCCTGGCTTTATGTCAACAAGAATGAGATCAACAGGGGAAAGAACAAGGGTTCCATCCATACATACAGAGGGAGACTTCCTATGTCACATTCAGCATAAAGTCTTGATGTTCCTCACTCAGTATAGGCCTAATGTGTGGTTGCATTTCTTAAGGTGAACGTTGCTTAACAGGGCAAGTTATGTTTACCGTACTGTACACTTGCATAATCCCACATACCTAGTAAATCAAAAGGACTGGAAGGTACATGTATCCAATGGAGAAATTTAAAGATGAGGGGAGCATTAGTCTATCCCTAGGTTTGTCAACCATTTTTCCCACCCTACCGTTCCCCCATCCCCCCCCACACCACACACACTCCGGTTACCCTCATAGTGTCTGTTCACAGAAAGAGAGATGAATGCCACAGGCTTTGCCTCCATTTCATTTCCTTTTCCTGTCAGCCACTTGGCAGAAAAGTATCTTTGTCACCTTCTGAATAGTCTTGGTGTATTAAGCTCTGGACTGGGAGGAAAATCTGTATCTTTGGCAGATGCAGATCAACTCGACCATAGATGTCTTAATCACCAGTCTGGCAGATTAGTGCTAACTGTAAGAACTGCCTAGGGATGTATGAGGTCTGGTCTTTGTGGAAGTTTTCTTTCACTCCTTGAGCTTAGGTTTACTTTTTTCTCCACACAGATTTGCAGACCTGAAAGTCTGTTCCCTTAACAAAGTTTTGTTCTCAAGTTATGAAGAGCTACCCTGTTTGAGGCAGAACTAGCCTGCCACACCCATTTTCTCAACAGTTGAATATAATCTTACCACATACAAATGTGTTTTTAGACAGCATTTCAGTCAATGTCACATTTTTCAGACATTTGAGTTCATATCTCACGGGATAATGTAAGTCAGGTTAATTGTTCAAGCTCATTTCAGCTCCCAAAGTTACAATGTAGGTACAGACTGATCTTATAATTTATTTTCCTTTCTTATAATTTTGTTGATAACTGTCCTCACATTCTAATTCACCGTATCATGAATATCACTCCATCAAATATAAAACTCCATTTTGTTCTGACAGTTTTTCCAGTAGTTGTACTTTGCACTTACTTTGATAATGTTACTCTCTGTTCAGCTTCACATAAAACAGTACACAAAAGTTGAATAAACCATACACACATGAAGTCCAATTCACATGTACAGGGTACATGTTTAAAAAGATAAAGGCCATTTCACAAAAATGTGCATTTGCCTGTTTCAAAGAGTTCGAGAGCACCTCGGACTCCCAGTTTGTGTGCTGTCATGGTATAAGTTATCAAGTGAGTTAGATGATGAATGTGGCATTCCTCTATTTGCTTACTGGCTTTAAGGAATGTGGCACACGTGCAAGACTTCATCCTTTGGCCTTATGGTATTAAGCCTGTGCAGCAGTGTTACAATTTCCCTTTCAAGTATCACTCATGGAGTGATTGATACAAGCCAGCGTAGTTGCTCAAGGAATGTTTCAGTTAGATTGTCTTGTGTTTACAGATAACTTTCTCATGGTGTATGAAACTAAATTATGTTAAACTGTGACCGGTGTTTGGCTTAAATTTCAATTCTATTCCATGTTGATCAATCTTAACAGCAAGACTACAGAAATTGACACAGTGACATACCCTGTAGTAAGCTAAAGAATTTTACTTTGAATTATGACTTGCGCACTATGTGTAGACGTCAACATGCCTTTGAGAATCATTTTGTTACTCAAATTTCATAAAACCTGAAATTCCTCTTTATTGAAATTGCCATCCTGCTAACAAAAAGACATTAAACTGCAGTGTTTAATAAGATTTAAGAAAATAGTTTTGATCAGTTGTGGACTGAAAAAATATTCAAAACCTGCTCAAAAAGTAAATCACTTCAAGATCTTGTACACCATCACTTGGAAGACATGCACATGTCTGCAACCTGTTTACCTGAATGTGACCCTTGAGACCTTCAGAAAAGATGTGCATAATAGTTTATTTGATTTTCCCCTGAGCAATGATGGCACCTTGTTGTAAAGGGAGATGTTAGAAGGTGACTAGTAGGACTTACATTGCTGTATTTTGAACTTTAACCTTCCTAAAAAGAGTGTTCATGTACACGTACATAGCCAAACAGTTTCTGTCAGAAAAGATTTTCCACATTATTAGGCACAGTTGATCAATTGCTCAATGTAATACATTGGACAAACTATAAAGTTCAGCAATTAGATGCTTATCTCATTACAGCTGGTTGAAGCCAAGCATGAAGCAAGCCAGGCTATCACCGGGCTCAAGCAGCTGGAAGGGGAGCTGGCTGCCTCCAGGGAAAGATGCCAAGAACAAGCCAGTGACCTCATCAAAAAATCCAGTAAGTCTTGGCGTAAAAGAGATATCTGTACTTCCTTAAGGCTTTTTACTTTTGACGTTATCTGTGCACATTAGTGGCCATCTTTAAGTGTCCATCTTGCCTTGCATCAGATGATATGGTTTAATGCAAAATTTGGTAATTTTTTTTCTTATTACATAGTCCAGCAGCCTCTTCTCAGCAGCAACTTCTCAGTGATGGCACTTTTCATCAATCAAATTGTACAACGTAAAAAGGATAAACACATATCTTTTTTCCTAAGCTCACAACCTGAACACTGTGATGGGACTTAGGAAAAAATTGTCATGAGTTAAAAATGTTGGCAGATTCAGTTGAAGTCTCGTTCATGGTCACTAATGAATAAAATAACACCTCGAAAAATAAACAAACTGTGAAGCTTCAAA